CTCGTCGTGGTCGCCGCCGCGGTCGCCACAGCGCCAGGGCTCGGCTTGCGCCGCCCGCCCGGGCCTCTTTCCTCGGCTGGAAGCCACGCGGTGTCCAGCGGAGCAGCCGGCCAATCAGAGCAGTGCGCCAACTCTGTCCAGCCAATCAAGAGACAATGCGCTGACGGTCTACGCGTCTTTCTCGCTGGCGGGCACGAGCTACCTACCACTGGCAGCCAATCAGAGGCAGCAGCGCTGTCTCCGTCCAGCCAATCACTGTGTCCCCGGGTGCCTCACGTTCCAATGCCTACTCTCCCTGCGACCAGGCACTGCACACGCGCGGAGGGCGCCCCCACCTGGCTTGAGGGTCCACTGAGCAGCTGCAAACCCCTCGGCCAACCCCGCCCCGCCCCTCTGCGGAGGCCCATGAAGAGTGTGACTCTCCTCTTTCAGGTTTGCCCTTGGTGATTAACGGACTGATGTGCCTGCGTGTGGGTCAAGATCTACGCAAATTTCCATTGTTACCTTACAGAAAAGATAAAACTATATTAATTGTGCCCTGACTTGTGTGGCCCAGTTTGTTAGAGTGTCGTCCTGTGTCCCAAAGGGCCGCGGGTTGGAATCCCAGTCAGAGCACATACCCAGTTTGCAAGTTTGATCCCCAGTAAGGTGCAAATGGGAGGCAACGGACGATGTTTCTCTCTCTTTGTCCTAAAATCAATGAAAAACATATCCTTGGGTGAGGATTTTTTTTTTTAATTAAAATTATATTAATTCAAAAGCAAAGCTTGACTGACATGTAGCATTTGTTAACATTGCCAAGAAAAGTTGTAAATGACAGATGGGTGAGAATCATAAAAATGATCCATCTATTTAAAATTGGAATATAAAAACCTTTATAACAATATTAGAACATTTCTAGGTGAGTTAGGAAGGTATCACCCACTGCCCTCAGAGACAGTGTGCTTGGTGGTCCTTGCACCCAGATGTTGGCTCCTAATCCTGTTCCCTAGTAAAGAGATGATGTGGTTTATTCCATCCATGCCTCAGGGAAGAGAAATAAATGATGAGACACTTAGGATATTTTTAAAGAATCAGTAGTTCTGTGAAAAAGCAAAAGTCTATAATGATTCTCAAATACAACAAAATCAAATGAGGTGGGCTAAGAGAAATTAGGCTGAAATTCCAGTAATGTTTACAGAATCTCCTAAATGTTGATACACCCAAAACATTGTGCATACTGTGGTAACGTTTTGATCTCCACCTAAGTTATCGTAAACCAGGCCAACAGATGAACTGAGTTCCTCAGAGGGTGCCAAGTCCCATCAACTTTTCAACTAAAATCAACTTGAGAAAATAAAGTGATTCAGCAGCACTGATACTGATAGTGGATTAGTAACTGGCTTTTTAAGATGTTTGGAAACATTCAGTAATCTGAGATAACAAGTGTCTGATTTATTCATTTCCAGGAGTGCTTAGGAAGATGTTACTGGTTAGATTCCACCCCACCACCACCACCCTCCATTATGAGATCAAGTAGATTATGTGTGTGTAATAGTTTGAAATGCCTAAGGGAATTGAATTAATCAGGCTTGTAAGGCAAGTACAATATTTGGGGGGCATCAATCTGTCAAATTTATACTCTAACTGAACATTAATCAAAGAATGTGAAAGTGAGTTTTACATACGAATTATAAGGTTAGTCAGTACAATGATGTCCAGAAGCAAGGGTAAAAGCTTAAAGGAAATGAGATTTTAAATAGCCAGGCTGCGTGGCTCAGCGACTGAGCATTCACCTAAGATCCAGGAGATCGAGATGCGATTCCTGGTCAGGGCACATGCCTGGGTTTCGGGCTCGATCCCCAGTGGGGGGCGTGCAGGAGGCAGCCAATCAATGACTCTTGTCATTGATGTTTCTCTCTCTCTCTCCCTCTCCCTTCCTCTCTGAAATCAATAAAAAATATTTAAAAAAAAAAAAAAGACACAAATAATGTACAAGTTCCCTAACTTGGATGTGGCTCCTCCACTAGATTGCTGCCAAGTGATGCCCCTTCTCCAAGGGCAGGCCTGAATCTGTTCTGTCCTCATGGTCTCTCCCATCGGAGCAAAGCCCCTGGCACACAGCCCACAGTTTGTTGAATGAGTGAATGAATGAGGTGCAGAGTGGAGGTTGTAGGCCCAGGGGGCCCTAACCCCAGGTAGCCAACCCCCCCCCCC